GGGGGGGATGCCCCAGGGTTTACTCACCCACCTTCCAGCCTAGGATGGCCCTGGGCTCCGGACTGACAAGCCCTCTTTTTGCCTCCTAGCTTCTCGCCAACGTGCGCAAGAAAAGCCGTGGGAGGTAGGACTCGGGGGAGATCTCAGGATGCACCTCTTACATCGTAGCCGCCCAGCGACCCAGTAACTTCGATCGCACAGGGCTCGGGAACGTTTTCTGGCGAATGAAATACTCACAAACCTCCAAGGCTCAGAGAGCCTTTGGTTTTAGTAAATAGCGGAGGTGCGCTGGAGTTTCCCACAGGACTAGAGCCTTCCTACAGGTGTTCAGTCTGGGGTCATTCGCTGGTGACTTAGGTTGGAGTGAGGGCAGGGCCAGAAAATCGTCTCACCAGTCACAGAGCTTAGGACAGTGATGATGATGATGGGTATGAAGCCTCTCTCCCCTGGGGGGGTCTGGATTGAAGTCTAGGGTGTATGCAATTTGAAAAATAGCATATCCAACATTATAATTTAATGCTTTGAGGCGAATAAGATTTTTATTTGTAAAAACATTGGAGAACAAAATTTAGATACTTTTTGATTGACTGATAGGATGACAAGTTGTCTTGCCTTTCCCAGGAAGAGGTAATTTTTTTCCCCCTTTAAGATCAAAAGAAGGAAAGTTTTGAGGCACTGAGGGCTCTTCTAGGATGTGACCTAGATATTGCACAGTAAAATGCATGCTCTGGGCCAGTGGCAGGTCAAGGCTTTCCTTCCTCCACTCTGGACATGCAGTGGGTATTGAAACTAAGAGATGGGATCCCTGATGTCGGAAGCCCTGGTTAGGCCTGAAGTCACACGTCTAGGTCTGGCTGTACCCTTCAGGTTTAGGGTGGCCTGGCAGAGGATGCTAATGTTGGCCTGGGCTGACATTAAAATGAATGAGTGGGTGAATCAGTGTTAGTGGTGGAAGAGGTCTCTGGGCTCATTACTACTAGTCTTTACAGATGAAGAAAATGAGCCTCTGAAGAGAAAGACTTTTTTGAGGTTACACAGTTAACTGTGTGACAGCCACAACCAGGACTGGGGCCCAATCTCTCTTGACCCCGTGGCTTCCCCACCACACCATGTCTAGAAGGTATTTCAAGAGATGGAATTGGTACATGCATGGACAGAATTCAAATGCAGAGCAAGGGAAGGTGGAAAGAGTAGTGAGATGGTCTGATGTGCCTGTGGCTTGGGCTCCTGCCTGCAGGAAGCAATCCAAGGCCTGCTGGCAGGCACAGGGAAGGACTTGAGGCAGTAAAGTGGTGCCTGTTCTGATCACCTGTTGGGTTAGGGCTCTTAGCCCCCGACAAAAGGTGATATGAGACCTGCAACCAGGCAGTAGTACAATCCACTTGCCAATACAGTTCCTCATTCAAGTTTGTGTTGGCACTCAAGTTAAAAAGTCATCCTTTATTTCTTCCCCCTCTTCCACCAAAAATAAATAGAAGAGCCCAAGTGCTCTGGGACTCCCACAGAAGCCTGGAAGGTTTGCTGACACTGAACTTGAGCTCTTACCATGAGAATGCAGGCCCCAGAGTGGTATGAAGATTATTATTCTATAAATGGAAAATTCCACCGTGATCCTGCAGCCTGCATACCTCCAAGGGATGCAGACGTTTTGAGCTCTGAGGAGTGGGAACCATCATTCTGAGAAAAAGTTCAGCAAGGAAAGTTTAAAACTACTGTTTCTGCTCCCTCTGGGTCAGGCCCAACGAAGGAAGGCAAACAAACGGAGACCTTCTTTCTTGCCCCACATGGTTCTTATGTGATGGAATGAAGAGAATAGGAACTTGGATATGAACTTGAATAAGAACAAATGCCTTGCTGGGGACTTGCAGCCTGAGTGAGTGGGCAGTGGTGACAGGACAGAGATGCCCCAGAAGGAAGTGGAAGGAACAAGTGTGTTCTGGAGTCTGGCCACGTGCTATTTCCGGGGCTGCTCACCTTGCTTGTTGTCACCGTTGCCCACTGTCAAGCAGGCATTTGGCCTAAAAGGAAAGTCTGAAAGTTGTCACGGGCGCATGCTGGGCATAGTACCCTGGAAGCCTTTGCTGTTAGTCACCATGGAAGGGGCAAAGTGGCAGCTACTCCAGCTCTGGGTAAAATAAATGGTTACTTTTGTCACCAAGCACAGTCCTCAGCCTGGCAGTGAGCTTGCCAGCTCTTTGAGGTGGGAGGACTGACTTGAGAGTGGCTCTTAGTACTTCCCATGAAGTCTGACTGTCTTTTGTTCACTTTCCAGGAGTCTGGAACGAAACAGGTGGAAGTAGCCAGGGTGTGGACATTTCTCCAGAGGACACCCTCAGACAGTCAAGGCAAGAAGACAGGTGGGCATCAGGCCTCATCCTAGCAGTCAGGGGTGTTGCTCAGTTTCCTGTGGGTGGTGGTGGTGGGGCTGCCTGGGCTCTGCGTTCTCACGTCTCTGCAGGTCCCCAGCCAGGGCTGTTTCCTTTGCTGGCAGAAGAGCTGAACCCTGAGAGACTGCACACGGGCCTTGTGCTCTTCAGAAGCATGAAGTCAGCCCTGGGGAATGAGGCAGCTTGGCTGGTGTCCAGCAGCTCTAGAGGTGCTGTTTGTCGGGCTCTGGGTTCCTGCTGGCCTGCTTGCCAAGCTTTGCCAGGGGCCAGAAGTGCTTTAGCTGCCCCAGCTATGGGGTTGCAGGGGTGAGGAGGGGCTGGCATGGGGGGCATCTTGCCTGCAGAATGTTGACTCTGTCCACGTCATGCCTCTGGAAGCATCCCTTGCTGAAATGGGGAGCTTGCTGGGCCAGGTTGCAAAGACACAGGTGGCCTTGGAGGAGGAACCTAACTCCTCTGGGCCACAGCTGTTTCCTCTGAAAAGTGAAGGGAACTCCTCATGTAATAAGTGGCAGCCGCTTGCAGGTTTAGGACAAGCAGAAAACATCTCATTTCCCCTGGTCACAGTGGGGGTAAGAAGAGGGCTGCTGACCCAGTCCTGGGGTGACTTGGTGACTGTTTGCACAAGATAACTCAGTACACTGGAAGCGTACACTTCCTTGTTTGAGCCACTTGGAGCTGGGTATTCTTGTAGCTGACTCGGTTGACAAAATTGCCTGTGTGTAGACAAGGTCTCAAAGGGATAGGGGGGATTGAGGGCAGGTGCTTTAGGGTATGGCTTTCCCCTGCCTGTGGGCTAAAGGCTCCCAGCTGATGGGAATAATTCCTCTACGTGTCACTCTAGCGACCCCCACCTCGCCCAGCTGCCCTGTAGGGCTAGGGCTGATTCTCTCTGCTACTGCAGAGACTCCTGCTGCTAAGAAGTAGCAGGGCTGAGACTTGCACCTTTGTTGTTCTCACTCCAAGCTGGGTGTGAGCCTCTTCAGATGCACCTGGTCGTTTTTGGGGTAGCTGAGTTTCTGCTAGGGGGGGTTGGAAAGGCCAGCAGTGCACAGCAGTGGGAAGGGACAGAGCAAGTACCACTTGGGGCAAAATGGGTACATCACATTCCATGTCAGATGTCCCCCAAATAAAATCAAGTCCTTTTAAAAGCACTCTAGTGGGGCATGGTGGCACATTTCTTTAATCCCAGCAATTTGGAGGCTAGGGCAGGAGGGTTACAAGTTCAAGGCTAATTTGGACAATTTAGTGAGACTTTGTTTCAAAATAAAAAGGGTTGGGGGTGTAGCTCAGCAGCAGAGCACTTGCCCAGCCTGTGGGAGTCTCTGGGTCTGATCTCCAGCATGGCCAAAAACCAAACAAAAAATAAATAAATTTACCATATGACCCATACTCCTAGAGCATGTATGTACCCAAGAGAAATGAAAACAGAGGTCCAAAGCCTAGTACACCAGTATACTTAGCACTATCATTCATAATAGCCTGAAAACAATCCACCAACTGATGAATAAACAAAGTGTGGTATATCCACAGAATGAACCACTACTCCTCAGCAATAAAAAGGGAAACCCTATGGGTATATACAACAGGATGGATGACCCTCAAAAACTGCTAAGCGAAAGAAGCCAGATACAAAAGATATTGTACAGTTCCACTTGTATGACATTTCTAGAAAAGATAGTGATATAGAGTTTGGAAGCAGATTAGCAGTTGCTTGGGGATATTCACTGTGGGTGGGCGGAGCTGCCTGCAGATGGGCAGGAGGAGCTCCCCGGTTATTTATGGAAGTGTTCTAAGATGAAGTGGTGAGGGTGCACAACTGTATGCATTTGCACAACTATATGCATTTATAAATGGGCCCACTTATAATGAGTTTTGTGTGATATAAGTTATACCTCAAAGTTGTAAAAGATGTTCGCAGCAGCATTCTTCTCTTTTTTTGGGGTGGGGTTGGTACTCCACCGCTGAGCCACATCCCCAGCCCTATTTTTGTATTTTTTTAATTTAGAGACAGGGTCTCTGAATTGCTTAGCGCCTTGCTTTTGCTGAGGCTGGTTTAGAATTAGCAATCCTTGGGCTGGGGATGTGGCTCAAGCGGTAGCACGCTTGCCTGGCATGCGTGCGGCCTGGGTTCGATCCTCAGCACCACATACAAACAAAGATGTTGTGTCTGCCGAGAACTAAAATAAACATTAAAAAAAAATTCTCTTTCTCTCTCTTTCTCTCTCTCTCTTAAAAAAAAAAGAATTAGCAATCCTCCTGTCTCAGCCTCCTAAACCGCTGGGATTACAAGCATGTGCCACTGCACCCAGCAGCAGCATTACTCTTAATTGCTCCAAACTGGAAATAGCCCAACTGTTCATCAACAATAGATAGGATACATGACTTGTGATGTGTTTATTCAGTGGAACACATTGAGCAGCATTAATGCGTGAATTAGAGCTACGTGAGAAAACGTGGGCATAATGTTGAATGAAAAAAAATATGATTGCAAAAGAATGAAATGTATTTTTGTTTCAATTTTGATAAATATAATGTTAAATAGTATTTTGCAGGCGGCCATGAACTTCTAGGAGCATCTGCACCAGGCCCCACACACCAAACCAATATAGTTTAATTGCAGTGACTGAGCTGTGGTTGATTGCACGAGGCACTGTAGCCAATTAAGCTGTAAGCAATTAACTAGTTAATCTGTAACCAATTGACTGGTTGATTGACTAGGCTATAGACAATTAGGTTGTTTTCCGAGCCTCACTTCTGCTCTCCTGTAAGTGATCACACTGTTATGGCTTCAGGAGCTGCCGGATTTGAGAATTGTTTTTGTGTTGCTCAAACACACTTCACTGAATTTATTTGGTCTAAGAAATTTTAACACCAAAAAAACATGCAAAACTGATTTAAGAAACAAACATCTGGAACAGCTGTAGGGGAGAGCAAGGGAATGACTGAGAGGCTTGGGACAGTGCTTCTCTGGGGACCGTGTGGGACCAGAGAGGGCGATTGAAGGTGATGGAAAAGCACATGGTTTATACATAGTTATTCTGTACACCTTGCTTTGTGTGTGTGTGTGTGTGTGTGTGTGTTTGTGTGTGTGTTTGTCTTTTGAAGCTACCTACTAAAAATGAGAAGTTTTGCTGCATTGGTGGGGGTACCTGTAGTCCCAGCTACTCGAGAGACCAAGGCAGGGGAATCGCTTGATTCTGGGAGTTTGGGGTCAGCCTGGGCCACACAGTGAGACCCTATTTCCTAAAAATAGGGGAAAAAAGTTTTGGCAAAGTGTGAATTATTTGCAGTCTTTGGTCCTTTATTATTAGTCGGTCCTGGCTAGGCACTGCCGTTGAGAATTACTGCTCCAGGCCTGGGGTGTAGCTAGTGGCAGGGCACTTGCCTGGCTTGGGTGAACCCTGGGTTCAGTCCTCAGCACCGCACAGACACAGACACACAATGGAGAAGGGAGAAGTACTGCTTCAGGCTGTAACCATCCCCTCTTTGATGATCTGGCTTCTCTATCCAGGAGGACACTCATCTCCACTTGGAGTTGGTTAGAGGAGTTTCCATCCTTCCTCCCCTGGGTGTGGGAGATGGACAGGGAAGCAGAACTCGGGCAGCCCCAGGCAGGGCCTTTGGCTTCTTTGTGAACTTGAGCATGGCGTGGTAGAAGGAGGAAGTCCAGGGGAACCAGAGCATCTACTCCAATGGCCAGCCCTAGGGAGCTCAGTGTGAGGCAGGAAACGTTGAACAAGGCTTTGTCTGTGGAGAGGGGATGCTTCTACTGGGGGGTCTCGTGTGATCTGCTCGCCCTTTGTGCCTAACAGCCTTGCCGGACCACAGCAAGGACACCTGTAATCTAGTATATGTCACATTCAAGCTTGCTTTTGCTAAATTTTTCTTGGGGTTGTAATTTCACTTTTCCATCTGTTTATAACTTTGAAATGTTGCATGAACTGTGTCTTCATGGTTGGCATTTTATGGTCCAATGGATTGTAAATTAAAGAGTTAAGTTTAGGAAATTAAACTGTGCACACACAACCTAGAAGGAAATGCATGTAAATATTTATTCCTTTTCTGAACAGGGAGGGTCTTGAAAGGCATTTAGATGATGGATGAAATTCCAAAGGAAAAAGCAAAAGATCTAACAACCTGGGGGCAAAAAGGGTATAAAACAGTAACAATGACAAAGTTTTAAAGGGCCACAGCAAGCGACTATTTATGGCAAATATCTTTATAAAACATGACAAATACCTCCCCAAAATATGGTTTCTAAAATGTCTATTGCACATATGAGAATACAGGGCCACTGTTTTTATTGTTGATATTTACTTATGTAAACAAACCTTGCTGGGTATGGTGGTGCATGCCTGTAATCCCAGCTATTTGGGGAGACCGAGGCAGTCAGGGAGACTGATTTCAAGTCCCAGGCCAGCCTAGGCAACATAGGCCCGGTCTCACACTAAAAATAGAAGTGATTGGGGGTGGAGGCCAGTGGTAGAGCACCCTTGGGTTCAATTCCCAGTGTCAGTGTGCACACACACACACACACACACACACACACACACACGGCTGGGAGTGTGGCTCAGTGGTAGAGCGCTTGCCTAGCATGTGTGAGGCCCTGGGTTCCGTCCCTGGCACTGTAAAAACCAACCCAAGCAAAACCATGAACTGATTAGAAAATGAACATAGAAGTAGAAGATAGGCAATGTGTATGGAAAAAGGATTCTTGGAGGAAATAAAGCGATTTGCAAATGGAAGATAAAAAGGTCCAACTCCTTTAATAACCAAAGAAGGGCAAATTAAAACAAGATACAATTTGTATCGATCACATTATATTTTAAAAATCCTTTGGCTTTTTGAGGAATATGATGAAGTGGATACTTTCCTGTGCCTCCTGTGTGGGAGGGTCCTTTGGCGGTGGGGTCTGTTAAGAGTGTCAACATTTTCCTTCCTGTTGGATCAGTGATTTGACTTCTAGG